AGAATGCTTTTTCCACTCCGCTCGCCAATGATGCGGTCATGAAGTGGCTTTGTCCAGGTTTTGTACGGAGGTTTGCCAAAAGCACGCGTGAAGCCGTAAATCATTTTCAAGCTCTTAAGGGCTGTGCTGCTCACTCTATTTGCAGTCACCTTAACTTATAGTTTTTAATCACAAACCCATTGGGGCAGGGAAGTGGGGGAGTCTGAACAATACACTGTGTGAAAAATAGACTGAAATACTGACCCACTGCAAACGTCTTATCCAGAAACTGCTGCTCGTCCTTCAGACAAATGTTGGGGAATAAAATTGATCTCTGGGCAGGAATCTCTTCTCCCTTTCAGTGTAATCGCAGCGCTGTGCATCAGTGTTGTGGGTTGGCTAGCAGAAGAGTTTTTCTACCTCAATCCCAGCCTGCATCGGGGAACTCCTAACAGCTGTACGGCTCTTCTCTGTGGAGGTGCAACACGCACAGGGTAGCTCTGAAACCGCCGTCTGCTTGTCCTGCTGCCCTAAGGGAGGGTTTTCTCCAGCCCTAGGGTTGGCAGGAAGCACCGCCTTGAAAGCAGGATTTCCATCAAGCCACTGCACCCTCACTGGCCCCAGGGACACAAGGCCTCTGCACGCTCTCAGGGACTAGAAGCAAGTCGAGCATTGCTCTTGGTCTCTTCTAGCTTCAGCATTGCAGCTATGGCAATCGCCATTCAGGTGGGGAGACAGGCCCAGTTTCTGCTGCAAGCCTGCCTGGAGGGGTTCACTGCGAGGCTGTTGGTTCATTGTCTACATGCGCTCATGCAGAGTTTCTTAGAGTCGCAGAAAGTGAGGGCTGGAAAGGACTTCAGGAGGTCTCTAGTACAACCCCCTGCTCCAAGCAGGACCAGCCCTGACTACATCATCCCAGCCAGGGCTTTGTCTACCTGGGTCTTAAAAACCTCCAAGGATGGAGACCACCACCTCTCTGCGGAGCCTGTTCCAGGGCTTTACTACCCTCCTAGTGAGAGGGTTTTTCCTAATATCCAGCCTCAACTTCCCTTGCTGCAACTTGAGCCCATTGCTCCTTGTCCTGTCATCTGCCCCCACTGAGACCAGCCCAGCTCCATCCTCTTTGCAGCCCCCCTGCAGGGAGGTGAAGGCTGCTATTCAATCCCCTCAGTCTCCTCTAGACCAGAGGTTCTCACACTGGTCCCCAAGCTCCACTCAGATGGTCTGCAGAAATGTGGAACAAGTGGGAACATCTGTACTTGCAAGGTAAGACTACTGATATTAAAATATGAGCTATATGCTTTGATTCGTAGAACAAAAAAAAATTAAGTGGTCTGCTGGGACCCTCAGCAATTTTCAAGTGGTCCACAAAAAAAAAAAAAGTTTGAGAACTGCTCTAGGCTAAGTAAGCTCAGTTCCCTCAGCCTGCCCTCATAAGTCATGTCCCCCACCATTTTTGTTGTCCGACACTGGTCACTTGACTCCAGATGTGGCCTCCCCAGTGCTGAATAGAGGGGGAGAACTGCTTCCCTTGACTGCTGGCAATGCTCCTACCTGTGCAGCCCAGGATGCCGCTAGCCTTCTTGGCACCAAGGGCAACCTGCTGGCTCCTGTTCAGCTTCTTGTCCCCTGTCACCCCCAGGTCCTTTTCTGCAGAGCTGCTGCCCCGCCCATCACCCCCACCTGCACCGGTGCAGGGGACTGCTCCCTCCCTAGTGCAGGACTTTGCACTTGTCCTTGTTGAACCTCAGATTTCTTTGGGCCCAATCCCCCTGTTTGCTGAGGTCTCTGAATCCTAGCCCTACCCTCCAGAGTATCTATTACTCCCGCCAGATTAGTGTCATCTGCAAACTTGCTGAGGGTGCGCTGCATCCCATCTTGCAGGTCGTTAATGAAGACATTGAACAAAACCAGCCCCAGGACCAACCCCTGGGGCTCTCCACTTGATACTGACTGCCAACTAGACATTGAGCCACTGATTCCTACTCTTTGAGCTCGATGCTCCAGCCAGTTTTCTATCCACCTTACAGTCCATTCATCCAGCCCGTACTCCTAGCTTGCCTGCAACAATGTGGTGGGAGACCATAGTGTCCTACTTTCCTGCTCTGCTGTTGAGCAAGTTCCCAGGGTAGACGAGGCTGGAGAGACTGGCTCAGGAAAGGAGATATTGAGCACTTCCTTTTAATTTTTTTGTCTGTCTTACAGCCTAGATCTGCAGCTACCTAGTGCTGAGACATGCTGGCTGTGAATTACCCCCTTAGGAGCCATCATCTTTCCTGGATACAATGAGGACAGGAGGAAGAGGGGTTCTTCCCCAAATGCCATTCCAGCCCAGTTCTCCCCTTCTGTGACAGCATAGCCAGGACATTGGGGGAGCCTCTGCCCACATCCTCACTGCAGCAGGGTGCTGGCTCCTGGGCACAGCCCCACCCCAAGCACCATGGCAGGAAAGGTGGCAGTGGGGCACCAGCTTCTGGGCTTCAGAAGACCAACCTGAGCGCGGCAAAGGTGGCACCTTCAGGAAACGGGGCAAAACGAGCCAAGGGATTTGGAGACGCCTGGAGCAGAACTCATCCCAGGTAGGAGGCTCAACCCAACTCCTCCCTGTCCCTGCAGCCCACTGCTGCTCTCACCCAACCCTGAAAAATACCCAGTCCCTTTGAGTCAAGCTGGAAACTAGCAGTGCCAAAGCACTCAGACGCACCAACTCTTCACTTAGTACAGGTCAGACAACCCCTCCACCAGCAGCCTCTGCAGGGTAACAGCAGTAGTACCTGACCCTTTCGTGAAACATTTTAGCTGGGTGTCCTCACTTGCTGGGCAAGTGTAGATGTCTTAGACTTCATGATGCCCTTGGCAGAGCTGCCAGCCCTCTGCCACAAACAACTTATCCCACTTCTTTTTGCAGCACACCTCCTCTAAAGGGCCCCTTGTAGCCAGATGCACTAAAGTGGCTGGGGCTCCCAGTTACAAACCATGCTCGGTGCTGTCCAGCACCACTGTCCACGTGCTGGGGTGGGACATTTTCATGGGGGTGAATTAGCCTGCTAAGGCTTCAGGCTGGGGCATGAGGTAGGAGGCACAGTGCTCATCAAGGCTTTCAGAGAATCGCGCACTTGAAAAAATAGAACGACTCCCCAGTGACGGCAAACTTTGGCCGTGCCTCGCAACACGTCGGCTCTCATTAATTTACCTTCCCGTTATTCTTAGCAAGTAGCACTGGCCTCCGCTCTGGGCTGAGGCATGGGGAGCAACGCATTCCTTTGGACTTGGTCTAGGATTGGTCTTGATGACCCTGCATTTCCACTGTCTTTGGTTTCTTGGGGCCGGAGGTTGGCTAACAAGCGATGGTATTCAGCCATTTTATTTCTCTTGGACGGTTTTGCATTCTGCAGTTGAGCCAATGAGCAGGTCAGCTACAAACATCATCTTCCAGCTTGTCATTCTGTGTAAGTAGAATGGCATGTAGGCTGGCCCTGGGCTCGAGGAGCCGTTCGGAACAGCAAATTGCTCTACACACAGCATAAAAACATGCATCTTCTTGAGCCATCGGAAGTAGATCCAGAATTACTGCTTTGAACAGTTTGCTCAGCAGATAACAGCAGGGGACTTTTTTTTTCCCCTTGAAGACTAAATGAATAAATGGTGCCAGCTCTGAGCCCACGAGCAGGCCTGGGTTACGTTAAGGAAGGTTGCATTTGACAAGCTCTATATATCACAGCTCCGACACATCTGACGGTGCTGTGCCAAAGCCGAGTGGATTAAAAGGGCAATGAGGAGCCAGAGGAAGGACTGGTCATGCAGGGACAGAAGTGCCTGCACAGACGCACAGAGTACAAAGGAAGAGGAACATTTCCAGGAGCAGAAATAATGTGCCAGAAGTCTTGCTGGTGCTAGCGCTTGCTTTTAAAAGGGCTTGAAATGGATTTGTGACACAGGCCCGAGACTTGTTTTCACAGCCCCCACATGGACACTGGGTACTTCTAGGTACAGCAGGGTGCCGCGTCCTTCTATCCTTGCAGCCATACGCCAGTGACTCCCATTATGTGCCACAGTGGCAGCAACTTCAGCAGTTTGCTGCACTACCGTAGGAGGCCGCCAGTTCAGCCCCACGCTCTAAGAGCGTGATTCTGTCATGGCTTTTCAGGGTGAAGTTTGCTCATGCTCAGCATTACCAGCCCCACTGCCATCTTGCTCCAGACACGCCATGGACCTCTAAGGAAAACGAACCAGAAGTGTGCAGACTGACGGACTGCTGAAGCTTTAACCCTTTCCAGGGCTAGGGTTGTTCACCTTCACCTTTGTTTTCCCCCCCCCCGAACACTCCTCTATGACCTTTCTTGCACAGACTATACCCAGCAATGGATCCTTCCAATGTAACTGTAGCTTCTTGGTGGTCCCCTCTTCACCCCCGGGGAACCAGACCTCACCGGACCACGAAGGACTTTGTCTTCACGTGCACTTCACTCCAGCCACCGCTGAAACACAGCGATGTCTGAGCAAAAGGCAGCAGCAGCGTGGCTGTGCTTTAAATGCTCATTAAGGTTCCCATTACAGTCTAACCTTTTAATCCAGGGACCACCAACCTTGTCAAGCCGCAAGCTGGAACAAGCCAGCTCCAATGCAGCATAGGCCCAGTTACTGCCACTTCTCCCTGGCCCCATCATGGATGCAAGGTGGGCACAGCTTCCAGCTGCTAAGGCCCAGCATAGGTGTGGGCAGAAGCAAAGTCTTCTGGCTCAGCAGGCCGTATGTTGCCGATCCCTGTTCAAAACAGTTTATAAAGCTGGCTAAGTAGGCTAATATAACAGCCTGATTCAAGGGTCCGTACAGCTCATGGGACGGTGTCGCTCCAAACAACAGGCAAAATTCATCTCCTGGGAGCAGTGTCGTTGAACTCATGTGACGGTACATGGCTGGCAACAACTTCAAACTCTTGCACAGGCGCAGAGACCTGGGCTTGTTACCATGCTACAGCAAGCAGAGAAACCATACCTGAGATAGATACAAGCCACTTGGCATTTAGCTTTTCCATGAATAAGTGCTTTATTCATTTTTGAAATATTGATTTTGTTGAGAACTTCTGCAGCCAAAAAAAACCAAACACACTTTAGATCATAAAAGGAAAAAAAAACAGAAAGTACAACACAATCTGGAAGGATCTTGTTAAGTCCCTACAGTTTTCTATCCACAACAGCTAGCTTGACGCGCGAGCATGTATTTATTTTTTTAAGCTACCGTGCTTTGACTGAGATACCAACTGACAGCAAGGACTTTAGGGATAGTTGTGGTACAAGGCAATTGCACTGATGAGACCCACTGTGAACACTTCCCTTACCCAGGCTGACAATCCTGGCTACTTCCTGCTATTCCAGAGCCCTTGAATTCTTCTGACCAAACTATGCTCATCAGGCAGAGCTGTGCTGTGGTTTCACAGATCTTGAGGTCACAGTTTCACGTGCAAAAGGTGAGCAGCAGGGTCTTCTGAGCAGTGCTAGCACCTCTCCCTTGCCAATTCCCCCGACTGCAGCATGACAAGGAACAGTGGGTGGGCGTGGGGGGGCCTCTGATCGGTTCGGTTGCTATCCACGGCCATTGGGTTCAGCCACCTTGCCGTCACGCACTATCTTAGCTCTTCAAAAAAGTCCATCACAGTCTTCCACGTGAGACTTCCCAAGGCAGCAAGATGAAGAAGCATCAACTTTCTCGAGTGTTTGGGTAAGTGCTGGTCTTGGGTGTGTGTAATTCTGCTCCACTTGGTTGCCTTGTCTCTAGCGCACAACCAAGTCTTGCCCAGCTGGGCAGCAAGGAGGCATGAAAAGCGGTCACGTGAGTTTATACGGTATGCAGCCCCCCGGTGTGTGCATTAGGAAACAACAGGCAGAGATGGCAAAGGATAGAAGGAAGCTGTAGGGAAGGTTACTGCAAGGCCATTTGGTGGCCTACCCTCACTGGCCAAGGGATAGTGTGGCTTCCTTCCTGGCCCCCCTCCCCCATCCCCACCCCCTGACTTGTAGGGAAGGCTGAGATCCACTCACAATGCCTCTGGCCATCTCCTGGACTGCTTTGGGCTCTTGGAGACCTCCTGCCAAGTGGGCCTGTAGCTGGACCAGCCTGGGACATGGGGGATGCCCAGGGGGTGTGTTGGGTGGGGGCATGAGCCTCTGACAACCAGCAGCCCAAGGTGATGGCCAGGAACATGTTCTTTGGGAAACGATGAAAAATGGCCAATGAAAAAATGCAAAGGGACTTATTACTTCTTGTCAAAGATGGAGCACGCGGCCGTAGGACGGAGCAGCAAGGAAGCACAAGTCTTGAAATGCACTGCATGTGCTATGGAATGTAGTGCTTGAGGTGGCGGCGGCGGCTTTCAACCAGCCAAACAATCAAAGCAAAATGGGGTCTTCAGCAAAAGAAAAAAAAACAAACATTGTCCAGGGACGGAGGGACCAGTGTTACTTCTAGGCTGTCAATCAGCTCTACTGCAAGCAGCTACACAAGAACTTAGTTTTCTTCATCTGAGGAAAGGCCTTCAATCTCGTCTCGGTCTCCTCCAATTGCCATCCAGAAGGCTTTGGCCACCTATGGATCAGCGTGAACACGTAAAAATGCTGCGCTACCTGCTGGTAAATGCAAACTAAGCAACAAGCCAATGCAGGAGGGACAACAAAACCCAGGGCTCCCAGCTGAAGGGCTCTTCTCTTTCACACTAAGACCCCAGCAAGAGGGACGTCATGTCTTGACGGAGGCCTCAGAACACCTAAGGCACTGTCGTCTTGGTGTCATTTGTGATTACTGTGGCCTGATCTCTCTTCCAATGAAGTCAGCGAGACTTTCTGCGCACACTTCACTGGAAAGGGGCTCCAGCCTTCAGTTACCCTACTGCATTCATTTCTGATCTTGGGAACCCCCTACCCACTTGATAGAGGGTCACTCTCTTCCTGAGGGTTCAGGAACAGGCCCAGTCAAGCATGATCCACTCGTTCGTGGTGTTTGGGATGAGCTTTGTACCTACAGAGCTGCAACAGCAGAATAGTTTTTCCTCAGTAAGCAGATTAGGTCACTCCCACCTAAAACACCTGTAAGTCTAAAAGCTGCTCAGACAGAGGACTCCTCCAGCTGGAATTGCAGTTGGAAGAACTCAGTTCTTATGGCGCACCTCACCTTTTCTGCATGTAGCTTCCTCTGCTCACGAGGCAACGTGGCTGCCTTGTCTGTGGGGTGAAGAGAAATGTAACATTAGACTGTCTTCCTCAAGGGTCAGCAGCAGACCTCAGCAGAGAGACAGGGAGAGAAGAAGGTCTCAGTGCTGGTATGTCACTAAAATACTGGAAAATTCTAGAGTGGGACATGGGAGATTTTGGGGAGGGTTGTGAAAATTTGCCCAGGTTGGAGCTTCAGTGCCTCCAGGCACTTTGGACTTCAGCTGTCCAATGTTCCTGAAAGTGCCTTAAACCTCAAGGTCGGCAACTTGTAGAGGTTAAGTTAATTCTTGCTGGGGGGCTTGTATAGAGAAGATCAATTCTATGGACTTTGAGTCCTGAGAACACATTTACTTACAGTGAAGGTAATGACCCAGCTAACTGAGGGGTAGGCCTTTCTGTATTCGTTCAGAGGAAGGGTGCAACACAACAAAAAGAGAGCAGCTGTTAAACCAGATTTCAGCCACCAGAAAAGAGACCCACGTGAGTCTTCAGTCTCTGAAACGGATCCCACAGAGGGCAAGTCTGTTGAAGGGCTTGGGCATTACAGATGGTGTACGCTGCTTCATTCACGGGCATTGTACCTTTCATTTCTTTCAGCTTTGAAAACAGTCGTTCAAAGTTCTCCAGGTCGCCTTCTCCTGTGGTCAGACTGGCAAGCTCTTGAATATCCATATCGAGCATGGGATCTGCAAGAAGCAGGTTAAAGTTAATCTAAGCCAGATTCTTCTTCTTGGCCAAGGACATTACTAGTTTTAAGGTGAGTGGCTGAATGATAACAAAGCAGATAGAGAACTGGTGACAGGTTCCTGGCTCCCTTTGCGGTGACAGTTCTGTATTTTCCACTGGTTCAAACAGCTGGATAGCAGCGCTAGCTGCAACATCACCCAGTTTGGACATGGCACATTAAAAGCTTTTCTGAACCTGATATGGGGTTTCAAGAACTTGGTTTAAAATTATTGTAAACATGTCAAAGTTTAAGAGGGTTTTTTGCTAGTCACTAAACTATCTGCTTTGGAACAGCTGTGGATTATAGAAAGAGTCTGACTTGATGTTTAGGCAAAAAAAAATCCCCCCAAAACAGGTCTTGGGTAATGCCCATTAGCCATCCAGTGCTACGTGAATTACAGGTTATACCTCGAATGCAGCAAATCCAGCTCAAACGCATGGACTTTGCTTATATTTGTGTTCTTCTGGTTTACGATACTGAACAATGTAAATCTTGGACAGAAATACACATTATAGCTAACTTTCTACAGGGAGCTGTTAAGATCTTTCCTTCAATAGTGACAGGATCCATCACGAAGTCTGATTCTCTGCCAGGTGACCCGGAGAAGACTTCTGGGCAAAGCATGAGGTTGGCAACTGCTCTCTGAGGTAAGTGCAACCTTGCTGCCTCGCTTGATTTCTATTGTATTTCTTAAAGCCTCAGCTCCTGGACTCATGTGATCACACGACAAGCTCTCCAATTACATTAAAACAATTTTGTTTGCTTTCTGGTTGAGGAGAAAGTCTTGGAAGTGTGACCTCTAAACGCTCAAACTGCCAGAAGTCCAAAATAGGGGGAAAAAAAGAAAAAAAAAAAACACTAGGATTTAAGAAGTCATGAATTTTACACTCCTACCTCACCTTGCAGGTGGCGGTAGCAGAGCAGGTGAAGTATCACAGTGGTGTGAGTTCGAGTCCCTCTCCAGATCTGTGCCAGTGGCTCCTCCAATTGCTCCAGCTTTAAGTGAGCAGCTGGTCACTTGGGCAGGGAGCCAAAGGATGTGGCCATGGCTATCCCCCTTTGCGTGGTGTGACATTGCCCTAACCATACTTAACTCAGTGGACCATAAGGCTCAAGAGGTCTCCTAGCCTTTTTGAATCCACCTACCATCAAGTGATTCACGAGTACTGTCCTAATCCTGGTCTTTGCAGAATTGATGGTTGTTGCCTAAAGGTACATTCTGGGGACACAATTTATACCTGAGTGCCAAGTGAGGCAATACAACAAAGAGAAGCAACCCCATGCAGGGTTGGGCCTGTTCCCTTCAGATAAAAATGTCTTTGCTTAAAAAGGTCAGTTGGTCTCTTATGACACTGGCAAGTCCTAGCCCAAGTGTCTCATGGTGGGGGGAGCCAGGTTGTTGCTGGGAACACATGCTCCATTGGGTCTGTATTTTGTTCAGCAGGTTAAAATTCCCCTCTAGGTTTTGTTAATTGAGTAGTCAGGATCTACATTCTTCTCCATTTCCTGCTGTTAAATTTTAAAGATTAACAGTGATGAAAAGCAGGCCTATCTAATAAAGAGGAGCCATAGATGTTGGCGTGCTCTCTTTAAAATCGACTCTGACAAACAAGCTAGCAAAAACTGGAGAGATTGCTTATCTGTACTTCTGCTTCTCTGAAGGACTGTTTTGACTGAGATCCTGCTCTGGGCCTGGTTCTTGCAGTGCAATATCCAAAAGCAGGAATCAAGTCAGCACAGTATCTTGAGAGAGGTACCACTATACAGTTTGACTGGAGACTTTTTTGGTATTGGTCACTCGACAGTCAGAGAGCAAAGTCAGCTGTAATGAGCAATAGCTGTCTTCCTACCCGTGATTTTCTTTGGAAATATGCCTCTTATTTCTTTATTTTTAAATACACACACATCATGGTTTGCCTTCTCTCCCACCCACGGTACTCAGCAACATTTCATTTAGGAAGCAGGAATGCCCTTACCTACAGTGCTGTCAACCTGCAAATTGTTGGTGCTAGCTGCATCTTCTCTGTTGCCTTCCGAGCGCGATTCTGCTCTGCCTGCCGTCGGTGGCTGGGACTGTCAGGAAACATCCAATCATTACTATAACAGCTCTGCCTTCCAGGTCAAACACACAAAGAGCCAAAGAGTTCAGAGTCAGACAGTTTGGGAAGTCTAATGAGTATTTAAAAGATGCTTTTTTTTTTTCTTTTTTTTTTTAATCCCAGTTACCTTTAACTACATCTCTTGTCCGAGTCAAAGATTTAAAGCTATGGATCAAATGCATTGGTGGCACAACATAAGTCATCTGCTTTGTTTCATCTTGAAAGCTGTTTTACTTCACCTCTACCTTAGAGCTTCGGGACAGAGCCCCTCCCTGGCGCGCATTTCCTGAGAACGCGTCATGTGCATCTGCCTCCGGCACCTCAAACACAGGGTAAGAATTTTTAAAACTGACCTTTCACATGACAGCATTCCCTCGGCCCTAGCTCTACTCCCAAACACTAGTGGAAAAAAATCAGTGCCTTGACTAGAGCTTTGTGTAACTTCTTCCTTGGCTCCAGCATGCTGTCAGAGGTAAAACATTTACACAAATAGGAGAGAGCCTGGGATCAACACCCAGCAGCTTTCCACACTGAGAACTCAGTCAAACTACACCAGGGAAAGTTATTGGGCTCTGAGGAAACATCCTGCCAAAGTAGCTGCACCTCATGGCAGCAAATGCTAAGGACATTCGGCTCCGAGGCATTGCCAAGACAGACTGATTCTTCAGGCTTTGTCTAATGTTTGTGCTGAGTATTTCCTTTAAACGCATTTGAAAAGGACAAGAGGTGTCCCCTGGGAGAGGAGGAAAATGAAAGAGGAAGACACCTATATTGTGGTGTCTTCCTCTTAAAATACCCATTTTAAACCCATATTGTGCAAGAGCAAAAAGGAAGACAGAGAGAAGAACAGAGCAACAAATGAGAAATAAAAATTACTGTTTACTTCTGGATCTTGGTTCTCTCCTGACCCAAGGCTACAGTTCGCACCTGCTAACGTACTGAGAAGGCCAAAGCCTTGATTCCTGTCTAAAAAAGGAAAAAAAAAAAAAGTAGTTGTTAGTGCAATTGAAAATGCATCATTAGTCCAAAATAGCTGCAGCTGAGTAGATGCAATGAAAAGAGTTACAGGGAAAAGCCAAGGTAATATATAAATCACATGCAGCAATGCCAGGACACTAAAAAAACCCCCAACAACGACACCCCCCCCAGTAAGTTGAATCCTCAAATTGTAAAAAATTGGGACAATACATGTAGCATGATGCTGCCTGAAAGCCGTCCAAACCCTCACCCTGCAGAGCTACTCAAGACAGGTGTTCAACTTTTATCCAAGAAAAACTAGCAGGATCAGGCCCTAACACGAGTGTAAGCAATATGTGCTGCTTGTCACAACAGGAAGAAAGGGCAAGGGACGTGCTCAACGCTTCCGAAAAGCCAGATCCCCGTTTTGATAACCAGGACCCTGCGCTTTAAGGACAGTCATCATTTCTGCCCGCACCTCAGATTCCACAGCGCCTCTCCCCGCAGCCACAGGAAACTCTACCTTGGTTCTTTTCAACACACATCAGTGAAGCTTGCTTGTGGTTCATGAATGGGGTGGGTTGTATTCTGCTCACCACAGACAAAAGGCAATGGGTGTTAATGTTTGTTGATCTTGCGCAGGAAATGCTACTTGCCTTGCATTGAAACGTCTTCTAAAACTATAGGCAACATCTTAGTGTCAAGCGCAGTTAAAAAAAAAAAAAAAATACAAGGTTCGTTTAAATTTCTGTCAGATATAAACTCAGGTATTTCAGATGTTCCGTTCTTGGAAGTCTATCAGAAAGCTTAATATTTAAAGAGCCTACCAAGATGACAACCTGAAGCTAAGACTTATTTACTGCCCGTGTCCCAGGTGGCAGGGTAAGTCTCGGTGAGCAAAGAGAAACCTATGACAAGGAACATTATGTGTTTGTTAGGACATATTTTTTCAGGACTTGCACCAGCATGGAAGTGTTTCAAGCTCTTTTTGTAGGACATAATGGACTTTGAGGACTTTCAGTGTAATGAAAGATTTAGTCAATCAAAAAAAACAATGCTAAGTTCTGCTGCCGATACATCAGAGAAAGGAAACCTAGGGTTGTATGTGGCCGAGACAAGATTCGTTTTACTTTTAAAAGAAATCTGCTCTGCACTGACTAAGTGTTCGACTCCAATGTTGGGATGATGTAATTTTGTGCACGGTCCAATTTGACTTGTCCTTGACATCAGATTTCATTCTGAAGGGGGTGAACATGTAGCCAAAAGCATCAGCTAGCTAGAAAAACATGTAAACATCTAACAGCTCCCCAACTAGAGCATTACAAAGACCTCATTTCCTGCTTAGGAGTGGCCTTTGCTGGATACTTCTTCAGTGCTAGAGATTTTTTTTTTTTTAAGTGACTTTTATTCTTTTAACAGGTATTTGTTTAAATTGGCTTGGCTGCACCCAGTTTTATTGACAGGACAGGTTACTTAGCCAGAGGCCTGGGAAGAAATGAATCAGTGGAGCTGACTGAATCTCTTTCAACGTATTCAACTGTGAGAAGGGTGAAAGGCTGTGCAGGACCCCAGCTCAACTAGCACGAGGTGGAGTGATGACTCCAGGGGACCCCCCCGCTCCAAAATCTAGTGGCTTCAAAAAGTTTTGGCAGGCCAAGCAAATGCTTCCCGAAGGGAAACGGCAGTGATCAGAGATCAGCCAATTTTTTTGAGTCATCTGCAAGCCGGTTGGACAATGCAGCCCAGAATGTGCTAGGGAGGACATTCCAGTGTCGGCAGGGGGTGGATGGGGTGACCTCATCGTCCAGCTCTTGTCCATCTCACGCCTTGGATTAGAGTTCATGCTGTACAGAAATGTCATTCTGGGTTTTTTGGGGGGGGTTCCCCCTGCTATGTCTCTGCTGCAAATCTGTTTGGAACGAGGCAGCCCTGTTAAGGTGGTGGAAGCAGAGCCCCAGTCTCTGCAAGAGGGGCAGCTTGTTTCTGAGGCTGTGGTTAGGGAGGTGGCAGGCGCTGCTTGGAGCCAGTCACACCCTCAAAGAAGTCTTCCTGCAAGCTCCTTTGTATTGGGCACGGAAATGATTTCATCTGCTGGGCACAGCTCAGGAAGTGGGTGAAGCCTTATGCAGGGTTCTTCCAACAAGCCCAGGAATCATCTCCAGCCCTCTCTCAGAAATAGCTGTGAGATCTTATGGTGCCACAAGGTTAACGGCAGCAGCCCCTTGGGAAGCCCTCAAGCTGCTCACTGCAACGGATGCAGCCAGACAAGACTTCTTAGCTCCATTCTGGGAGCCACATCTGCTGATGTTATTGTGCCAGCCCCGACACCCACTGGGATGAGGTGTCCATGTGCTAAATGCAGTTACTTTACACCTGCAACTGCCTCGTCCTGCTCTTTGCCCACTCTGATGCTGTTCTAGCACCCCATACACAAGAACTTTCTCCACAAACTGTGGGATTTTTCCCCAGGACTGTAGGAAGTATTTCAGTCTCAAGTCATACTGATAAATTTACAACCTAGAAGAGCTGATGGAGTGGGCTAGAAGCATGTTTTGTCCTAGCGGAAGCTAGAACGTGGCTTATACATCCTCCACAGCAGAGAAGGGGTTACTCCTTGCAGAGGGCACCACGTGGACATTTGATTCCATCTTCCAGGACCTGCTCAGCTTCCACCTGGGCCCAGCGGAGGAAAGATTCAAGCAGGAAAGGAAGCTACTTGGAGCACCTCAGAGGAAAGTAGGAAGAACTTTCTCTTCCCCCTGACTTGGAGCAGAGCACAGCACAGCACGGGGAGCCAGCCAGCCAGCCACCTCCTGACTACCAGACCAAACACAGCTCAGGAACCTGGACACCGACTGCCTTCTCCCTGCCAGAAGATGCAATCCTCTGCTCAAGGCTCTCTGATAAGGCTCCTTATTTTCCTTCCCTTTTGGATTTACCCTCACTTCTGGATGTTAAGTAAACAACTTTGCATTGGGTGATCAATTCATATGTTCAGGGTTTTATTTGTAAAATAGGTATTTTGGCATAATATGGCCAAATGATTACCATTTAGCTGTTACCCTGAAATGCTCGTTTTCCTTTATAACCTGTGAATCAGTGGAGTTTGTTTTTTTGGAGAGGGAGATGTGTTTAGCAGACTGTTTTGGAAAAGGCATCAATAGATCAAAGATGTTTTAAAAGGGTGGCAAGAAAAAGGCTCCAGTCTGGGTACAACTACAAGTAATCTATTAAGAAAAATAAAAGGCAAACGGAACCATGGCAAAGAGAGATGGTCGTATTCCAAGACACAGGCAATCTACTCATCCTGATGAAGCCCTTCACTGTCTGCTATATTTCTACAACCAATAGCCTTTCTTGTAAATGCAAATATAAAATCTGCAGGTATCCATTTCTAAATTATGGTGAGGTGACTACATAGAGCAGGTATTTTGGTGAGAACTTGGTAGCTGTTTTTATTTTAGATGGCCCAGAATTTCAGGAGAATTCTTTACAGTATGCAATCCTCTGTTATTTTATGTATAGTCCTCTCCCAAATAAGGATCATAAGCAACTGGTGGCAATACAGAGAAGCTAAGATTTTATGCTCGCTATATTCAGCTTTCAGATTGGGAGGAAGTTAAAAATAAAAGCATTGTTACAGGTTGTAAATGAGTTTTCAAAGGGACGCAACTGAACTGAGGTTACTTAAAGCAAAAGCAGTCATGTTGCTAGGGTCCAAATTTAGTTTCATTTCCGGAAGTGTTTGAAGTGGTGCAACATCAATGCCATGTGATTAGTGCATGGTGGAAACTTCAAATCTGGATTCTCAAGAGGTCTGACCTTTACAAAATACACCAGTGATGCATAGGAATTTCCACCCCCCCATATAGAATTTAACATATGACCGAATCCTAGTCCTCTGTGACATAGCACCTGTCGATGCAGGATGCAAAAGCAGGAAATAAGCTGTGAAAACAAAACAAAAAACTGTGCCTTCCACTAATGAAATGATTTCAGCTCATCTCACAAGCCTATTTGGGTTTTCCTACAATAATGATATGAAATTAGATTTTTTTTCCTCATCCTGATGAGACACAAAGGGTGACAAGTTTGATTTAAAACTTTAAATTATACATACAGTACTTGCTTTCTTAAATTACACTGTATTGGGAGACCAATAGCCAGAGTCAGTAACAGGACCTTTCAATGCTTATTGTTTCACTGTGTAGTAGCAGTGCTAGGCTAGAGGGGGAAGGAGTCTAGGCAGTGGGGAAAAATGTGCGTTTCAGAGAGCAGACAGACTTTAGGAAGTCACAATAGGAGGAGTGATGTGGTATGAAATAATAAATAAAAGGACAAGCACTCTGAGAGAATTCACCTTGAGGCAGCTTATCTATTTACAGGGGCAACCAAAAGGATACAAGAAAAAAAAAAATGGTTGTGCCACACCTGCAAAATGGATAACACTGTGCTTTTCCTTTCTCAAAGAGCCTGAGCCCAAATGAAAGTAGCCACTCTGCCCATTTCTACCTGAAGATATGGCTGAAGGGAGACATGTTTTCTAAGGTTTTCAACTGCTAGTTTGTAAGCAAAGTTCTCTGGAGCATTTATGACACAAACAGAGCTGGCTCTATACTTCTGCACCCTGGATGCCTCGTGGTAAAGTGTGAGTAGCAATAATAAATTAACGGATTAGTAGAGCCTGGTGGATCTGAGCTCTGTGTCACTACTATATGAAGCATCAGAGAAACCAGATACAACTCCTCTGTCAAACTCTCCGGGGGAGTTCTGTTTTCCTTGAGGCCTGTGGGAAAAGGGTGCGTAATGCAGAGAGGTCCACTCAGTTTCATGCCGTCAGGCACACCGGACAAGTTTCAGCCATTCTGTATCTTTGTTTAAATCCATTCCAGACACTTTTTGAAAGACAAGCAACAGACTTGATACAACGTAGAAGACTTTTCTGGGAAGTGCACTGAGCTACCAGCAGCATCTTTCTGAACGTTAGACTGAGCCAACCTGACACAGACCAACTTCACTTTGTCCTGAAGCAGCTATCTTACCTATGTAGGCTGGAGAAAGATCTAAATCCAACCATAGTGAGTTTAAACATAGGCACAAAGGGCATGCTGTCACTTAATGCATAGGTAATACCATTTATCTGGCCAAGGCCCCTGGAAAGAGATAGCTGGACAGCCCTGACCATACAAGAGAAGAGTAGGGAGCTCTGGCTCTCTATCTGCTGTTAAGCAGGTACTAGGATGGTGCCAACTGGACTGAAGCCTTAGACAGAATGACAGAAAGCTACCAGCATCAAATGCTCAAGCTGTGTAACCTTGTAAGCCAGAGAAGCCTTTGTTACATACCACTCTTCATCACTACGTTAGACCACACGTTGGCGTTCAAGGCTTGTACAATTCGTTTCACTCCTGTGGACTCTGGGAAGTCATCTAGAGAGAAGGATAAAGAGCAGGTAATTCCCAATAGTTCTTCTGACCTGGAATATGCCTGATGGTAAGTCATTAAACCTAGACAGATGATGTGGTGCTTCAGTGGTAGAAATGGGAAGAGTTCAGCTCTTGATCTATTTCTAATCACTGAAAAAACTCTCAGGTCCTTAACTGCTGAATGTCTGTCGAGCCAGTCTGAAAGCATATGCTGACACAGTAAGGTGATGGGAAAGCCTGCCCCTGTTTGCTTCATGATGGCTTACCTTTTCATAGGTTTTAACTCATTTAACTCCTTAGCACTGGGTCTTGGGAGCAGTCTCTACTTTTAACTGACAGGGTAAAGATGCTGTAATCCCCTCTTGCATTTTCCAGGAATTAGCTACAGGTGTAGTAAGTCAAATCAATCAGAGTGACTCAGTTTTGCTGGTAGATTATCAGTCTTAATTCTACCAGGTTTATTTTTTTACTGTAAAAACAGGTAGCCAATCCCCAAAGTCTCTTCACTCACCATAAAGGAGGCAAAGATGCATTTTTTGTTTTCTCTGCCTTTCAGATTTTAAGCAGCCCCCTGGACAAGGCAGGAAGACTTTGCAACTGGCCACTTCCTGTTCACACGTCTATACTACTATAAGCTCCAACACAAGCCCTAAAGTGTACCGATTGCTTAAATGGGACACTAACAGCATAAGACTATTTCTCTCCAAACTAACTTCAGCTGTCCCTTAAGTTACGATAATACGAATGATGATGTTTGGCATCTTTCTGATTTCAGTTTGGTCACTGTATGCATGTGACCTTGTTCTGTGGGTAGTCAATTTCCCCGTTTCCTTGGATTAGTCAGTTTCCCCTTGTTTGAGCAGGACTCTTGCAAATCAACAGCAGAGATTAAAAAAACATTAGGAGAGGAAAATACAATTAGATTAAAAACAAAATAACAAACAAAAAGTGCCTAAGCCTTCTTGGGATGACTCAGGGACAGGTAGGTGTGTGGCAGTTAAAGTGGTCTTTAACTCCTAAAAGCAATTAAAAGTGGACTCTGAGCCTTTTGGGTACAGGCAAACAAAACCAAAGAGCAGGAGTTGTCCTAAGGCTGAATTAAAAATTAGTTTGTAATCCTATTGCACAAAAGAGCTGACTGATTTTGTAGTCATAATGAGCATTCCAACTCAGCACCAACTACCACCTGCAAATCTGATGATTTTTAGAGAGATCTTGGCATGGTATTTCTGTTGCATCCGTTCCATCATCTTCTGTAACCAATTCACACAAAACACGTTTACAGAGTAAATAAGTTACTCATTGAAATGCATTTCCTCCATTGCATGAGTCACAGTGACTCAATCTGATTATAAAGGTGGAGGAGACAGCGTTCAGACATCACCACTTCAAAAACTAACTTTCTGACTAATTATAAATATTCCCGCTGCTTATCTTGTCTCTTAACAAACGACTTGCACTTACCAACTCTTTTCAGCAGACATCTCCTGAGAATATTTAAAAGGGAAAAAGCAGTAACTTGAAAGAGCTTCAAAATACAACTCTGCTCTAAAATGGCATTGCAGACTTTCATGTTCACCTCTGAGTCATATTTGATACCTGTTGTGCTGAGTTCAGCAGTGAAAAGGTGCCTCTCTCCCTTTCTTTTTTTCCCCTTAAAACTGAGCTGCCAGAAAGACCAGCAAATTCAAACTGATCTAAAAGACTGATCTTTCCTTCTTACAAGGAAAGGAGCCTCAGCTTTCTGGCTACAGACCAAACTCTCCTCAGCAACCCCTGTGTGCACCATCTATTGTGTTCAAGGGATCTGGACTGCGATACGTGTTAGCGAACCAAATCTAGCAGATGCAGCTGATTCTCTAACCGGGTTGGGTTCTGCAGGGGTAGCTGCAGCAGCAAACACTTCCATTTTATCACTAAAGTGAGGTAAGGATTAAGCCTGTGTTTCTCAACCAAGATGCTGCAGCACCCTGGGGTGCCCTGAGAGCCTTTTAAGGGTGCTGTGGTGTTCCACACAATGTTTGCACTGCAAGGGTGAACACACAGTTCACAAGATAAATCCAGAAATTCAAATAGGAATCCATAGACTTAAACCCATTCTGCCCTGCTCTGTTTTTTCTGAGTTCTTTGCAACAGAACAATTCTTCTATTAATTTTCTGTGGTCAAAAAAACAAGTGACAATTAAGAGCTGGCATTTTCTGAGGGATGCCTTGAGCCTAAAAAGGTTGAGAACTCTTGGCTTAAGCAGGTGTCAAGAAGGGTAGAGTCACTTTTCAGGGGGTGAAAAAAACAACATGCTTCAAGTATGGAATGCATCTCTTATTCCTTGTCACTTACTGGGGCCCAAGTGCAAAACTGGTTTTGCTTCATAGCTTTAAGTTTTGGGCACACAGTCAGACAAGAAACCATAGTTGGCTTCCTGCACAACTGTGCACACCACTAAAAAACAATGGCTGTTTTAACCAGCTCGTGTTCTCAGGTTACCTTGTGAGTAATCTCGGGATCTATGCTCTGGCACTCAGCAGTCCACAAAGATCTAAAAAAAAAATCCTGCCCTTCACTTTCTCTCTTTTTACCTACTCCCGTTTTGGAATGGCTTCTTTGAAACAGAGTATAAGTGTTTGTTTTTAACATCAGCGTGTCACTGGGAGTTGAGCCAAAAAGGAGGAGCAAAGTACACTGTTTTTATGTAGGGCCTATGTAAACAGCAGTTGTATTTGGGAAGAGATAAACAGAATGTCTTAGACAAAATAATCTTGACTTTTACAATTTAATACTAAGCACCACCAACTTGAAGAATCCTTCAGATCAACCACATACTAAAATAAATTTGTATGCCCTTTGCAGGTGCTCCAAAGTGGATGTGTTGCATGTTAATTGCTCTTAAAAAAATAAAGCGGTGGTAAATTTACCATCTTCATCAGGCAGCTCCTCCGGGCTGAGTTCCACCAGCTCAAAGCCATGCTTGATGCACCACTCCTGAGCTTTTTGTCTGCTCACACCTACAGTTGTGAAACAAAAACTGCTTTGTGAAAATCCAGTGTTCTACCTTGGCACTGCTATCAGTTCAGTCTTCTGCTCTTTTCTTTACTCCCCCAAAGCTGTTCCCTCATTCTAGACTGAATGGGAACAAAGGAAGTATAGAAAGTCTGGCTGTATCTTCTAACATAACGATAGATTCAAACAACCCAAAAAGTAAGTTGCATCATATTTTGAATTAGTGCTTTTGTTCCCTAAAAACCATACCTTTTTTCTTTTTTGCAGTTTGTACTGAGACGGATGCAAAATAAAAACAAGACAACTTGATTCTACGCTGTTACAAGGTTAGCCCAGGATTTTAAACATTTGCTTTTGCATGAGGCATGCCAACACAGGAACCAAACTTCTATTGATACCCAATGCAAACATGTGGATTCATTCAAATGACTAAAATAGCCTTACTACCCTTCACATTAGTTAGACCATGAATAACCCCCATTCTCCACCCCCAAGATGCTTCAGCTCTGGCCCCAAAGGACTACCCGAGTGGGAAAATTTAATTCATGTCTTGCCAAATCTGCTGGTGGGATTACAATGCACACTTGACCACTAGGAATTGGAGAGATGAAGCATACTTCCTGCTTCTTGGCTTGTGCACATCAGCCTACAAATGACGAAAGACTGCCCCACTTACTTGATCTAACAGAGTCTATGATTCATATACTTTCTTGAGAAAGACCGCGGTACTAATTTTGCCAAGAAAACAAATAATACAAAAGGTAACTTTTTTTCAATCCAGATTGAATTCCCTTGAATTTAAGACCCTTACCATTTTCAGATACTCTGTCACAGACCAAGATCATAACCTCTGGTAACCATTCTTCTGTGAGGGAAAGCCACGTTGAGACACTATCAAGACCAGATTTCTGGAGGAGGAAAGTTCTAGTATTTATACGTTCTAAAGAATTTTGCAACTTGAAATGAATTAGAGTGAATGGCTCATGTTGCCCATCTGGGAGTCAAAGGCAGGAACCAAAAAGTTAAGGTTCCAACAGGAACAGCCTCAGATGTGTGGCATATCCCGAGAGGTGCGAGAATGGAGATGGCAAGATCAACTTTAGCTATACTGAATGGTTTGGGACATAATTTAGCTTTAATAAGGGAGAATGAGAATAGGCAATATCCTATTTCTAGCCCACAGCTGAAATAATCGTGCTTGTTGGGAACTGGGACTTCATTTGCATGTTTTGGTTTTAACTCTGCAATCCTAGACTCGAATATGAAGTGGGTTTGTTTTTTCCCCCTGGAAACTCTTAAATATATCTGAGTTGCTATAATGTGATGTTTACACCTTACTGAAGAAGGGAAGGATAGGAGGAGGCAACAGATTTTGCTGTATTTCATCTCTCTGTACTAAAGGTGTCACCCAAGGGGAGAGGGAGGCAGGTCTGTGCCGATTTTTCTTTTCGAAAGTGTGGTGCCATTATTTCTTTGTTTTTTTCCCCCCACTCCCTGAGAGGTCAGGGTTATCTGGAGATTTCCTCAATTGTACTGGAAGACAGGTCTGAAGAACCCACCCACATTGGGAGAAGTCTAATTTTAACTTAGGGGGTGGAGCAAGTCCTTAACCGTATCTACCTGAGTATTTTTCTTTGCTACAGTAACTTTGCAAAGCTAATTCCATGCACTATGAAAGCCAGCATAAGTGGCTGTAGGATGACTGCTGTTGTGGAGCAGGAATATCTAATGACATACTTTGAATACCAGATCTTATGCTACCTCTCTCTGTAACAGGCAGAACAAGAACATGGGGAAAGGGACTGTGACTTCCATACTAGCTCCTTAGGGACACTGTCAGCCAGCACAATATAACGTAGCCCTACGTGACCCTAATGGATTAGTCTAGAGCATGCTGGCCCGAGAACACACGAGGCTGACTTCAGAGTGATGGTTATATAAAAGAAGATAATATAAAGAAACAAAAAAAATCTTACTATTGTGCTGTCAAAGTAAACCACAAATGCCTGGACAGATTCTGCAATTTCTGCTGTCACCAGGAACTTGTTTGGTACCACACAAAGATGGATATCAGCAGAGTAGTATTTATTATCTATGGTCCAGGGGTAAAATCTCACTCCTCCATTGGCAGACACATCCACTGTCAAGTCTTCTGTTCCTATAATACCTGTAGAAAAATTGGAGAACCTAGTCAGACAAAACCAATGTCAAAAGTACACAAAACTTAGCTAGATTGTAGAAACAGAGCCACCTTCAGAACAAAAAGATTCTCTCTTCAGTGCTGATGACTTACTATTTCTCAATTCTTCAGCTCATCCTAGACTAGTGGACTGATATTTCTTTTAATTACGTTTGTTGGCTATTATAACCTCAAAGCAGCTTTGCAGCATTTGCCTATCACTGCACATGCACCTAGTCACTGAAGATGTTTTGTGGAGAGTAAGGGGACTAAAATAGGAGAGATGCCAGGTTTGCTTGTGTTGTGTGCTTCTCCAAGTAACTGGGTTTGACAAGAGGGAAATCCTTGGGACTGGGCCACCCGCCTGCAGGTTTGTCTAGATAATCAAGCACTTCCCTTTGAGTTCATATGTGGACCAGGCTGGAATCACTATTGAGTTCATAGTTCCTCCTAGCTGCCTTGACAGGCTCCGCAGGCGTGGACCACTTTTCCATTCCTAGTGACACCATCAAAAGCTACGGTGAACAGGACCAAACTCCTAACCTCTGACCAAGGAGGAACTTATCAGAGCTGTACAGCTGCTCTGGGGAGTTTAATGAGAGCTGCAATGCAAAACACCAAGTAGTATTAGTATTAAATACACCACTACTTGGCTCTTAAAGATTACTGAAGTAAAGCAGAGGCTCCTTCATAGTCCACCAGCCACACAATGGAGTTGCTTCTTAATCTATAGTAACAGCACTTGAGAGAGAGCCAGGATAGCCGGCTTTCAATTGGACAGACTCACAAAAACCGTTTAAAAGTGTATCAAATAATGAGAAGGTCACAAGAGCTGTTGCTTGGGGTACTAGGATTGTAGGTGGAATACACTGCCTTTTAAAGGACTTAAGGTAATGAAGTGCCTATCTCCCCTTGACCCCAAAAGAGCAGGTATCCTCACCAAAGAACTGGACTGAACTCTCATTACAAAGTGTGGGGGAAGAGTTCAGGCACTAGTAGGGGAGGCTGCCTCTCTGGCAAGGCTCTGTGAAAAGCAAGTACTGGAAGACTGGGATGCACCCATCTTCTCTTGGTCCTACTCTCCCTATAGGTAAGTTTTACAAGATGACAGATCCTCCAAACAATTCCATCTTGTTTATAGCTGGTGGTATCTTTTCTGAAACATCACTCTTCCCTCGTGAGAATGAACTGCATGTTTTTAATTTAATGGACATACAGTCCCGCTAGATGGAAATCTTCATGCCACACTGGGGCAACAAGATAAAAGTAGTGAAAGAATTCACAAAAACTCCCAATCAAATTAGCCAAGACCAGCCACTCCTCCTAGATGAGTGTTACTCTGCAATTTATGTTCATGTAAATGCACAAGCAGCTTCCACCACATTTAACCTAAATAATCTGGATTATTATGTAATCCTTACAAGCTTTTTATCTTTAAAGAACTATGTAAAATCCTGGATGATACTGCCTGGTAGCTGATGCTTTTGTGATTATCAGAGCATTGGAGGACATTCTTTCAATAGTTTGCTGCCATGAACTACGTGCAGGACTTCATATTTAGCTGCAACATCTGATAGTATTATAGCCACCTACCGATAGCATTTCCCGTCTTGTGCTCCGTGACTGCGGTATGTCATTAGCTTCTCGGAAGCAAATGCCTAACCTCTGTCTGGGCAGGCAGGCAAGGACTGCTTTTTCAGTTTGGTCTAAATTCCAGCTTTTGAATGTTTTCAATTCTAAGCATCTTCAGGTCATCCAGAATTTTAGAGTCGCCAGAAATCTCCTCCTCCCATTCAGGGTGACCACTCAAGCCTTCCAAAATCCAAATTACACAGCAGAATTAAAGAAATGGTTTTAAAAAAAAAAACCAAAAACAAAAAACCCCACCTCTTTCTACCAAAACCAGTATTTGCTTCTGCTGTTTAGTGGGAGTTTGGCATACCGGTCTCTATTTACATTAGTTTCATACCCCCCAAAACTAATTAAGCAATTAAGTTCTGGGGTATAATATGACAATTGCCTGCATATTGTTTAAACAGCTTGCATATAAATTGCTAACAAGGCCAATAAGCTGGCCTTCTGATTTTGTTTCAGAGTCAAGGTTGTTTCCAAGTTAGTTACGGGAAAAATTCAGGGATTCTGGCAACTTACCTATTAAACAAGCAGGAAAGTATTTTTTTTAATAATGCATTTCCAAATATACAAACTCAATTTCTTTCTCTGCAGGGCCAGTGTACTTAGCATACTGTTTCAAGTGCCGGCAGAATATAAAGGTATGTATTCTACAAGCCCAAAAACACCAAAGTATTTGAGGTTCTTGAATACCACACAAATATCTTGTGGCATTTTTGCAATTAGGGCTGTGGAGGGGAGCTCAGAGCTTGCTCCTCCAAACTGCTGGCCAGTGCTGGAGGAAAGTATCTATTCCTTATCGTATAGGAGCCCCTACTGACTTATGCAAAATTATCTGCATCCACTTCATGAAGAGTATTTGCTTATTTGTGTAACCCCCTTTGCTACTGAAGATGCATGTTTTTAAGAGCTTAATTTTTTTTTGCCCAGCTCCTCCCTCCTGGCCATAACACTGTTTATAACAGTCTGTTGCCATGGAAGTTATTATAGTCACAATCAAAACTTAGTTTGATGACCAAAGAGAAGAAAACAGGGTGAAGAATGAAAGTGTTTTAGGGGGAGGAAAGGGCTCTTTCTTTAATTAGGCAACAAAGGAAGTTGCAAATATGACTGCAAAAGAGAAATCCTTAAAAAAAAAAGAAAGAAAGAAAGAAAGAGAGCTCCATCACTAAAGCCTAATATAAGACACCTTTTATGCTGGTTCCTTTCATAAGGCATTTAAAAGGTTTACTGAACAGGGGCAAAATTGGCATGAGCAAAGATTAAGCCTCTAGAAGTATTGCAAAGACTCTAGAGGCGTATAGTGTTGTCTCACCCATGGCTCGTCTATTGGATTCTGTTCTCTTCCCACCTAGAAAGCCACCTTTCCTCCCAACCAAGTGATCTGACCAGTTAACATGGACTCTCTCCCCCAGCATGTGGAGTTAAAACAAATCTCTAATAAACTCAACTCCTACTGCAGATGCCCGAGAGAGATCTATGACCCGTCTCTGGTTACACGTGTGCAACTTCGTGCTAAAGCAATTGAAGGTTTGTGGTATTTAAATTGCTCCAGTACCATTGTGCCCATTTACTGGCAAACAAAGGCAGTCTGGATACTTTTATTTTTCAGCTGCTTCTGTGGACTTGCTGTTCTTCACTAAAAGGCACTAACTGTACTAATCAAATGCTTTTTGCCTTCTGTTTCTGCCATGCAAGCAAAGGCAGTCCAATGATACTAAAATAAACCGTGTCTAGACAAGCTAAGTTGTCCAAAGGCTACTCCACCTTGGAACCCGTCTCATATATTGTACATACCGTATTAGAATTCCAGGAGTTTCTTCCCAAAATAGAGGTTTGAATTCAAACACAGAAATGAATTCAACTGTAACATGAGCTTCCTGCACCCCGTTCAAAAGGAGCATCTAACGGGAACTGTTCTAATCTTGCTTGTATTCAACCAAAAAAAACCATTTTTTTAGAAACTTGATAATGACCAGAGCACGTGGCTTGGTAAATTTATCTCTAAGGAATTCTCATTTGAATCTCTAATCTTCCCAGCCATAGCAAGTGTCAGTGGTTTGACTTCCAAAAAGAGCCTAGAAAACCAACTGACTCACTCCTTGACCACAACAGTGCAGAGGCCTACCACAGACATGAGCTTGCCTCCTCGTGGAGGAGAAGCGGGACACTAGACTGAGTGGGACTCCACTCACCATGTCACAGGCATGCAACACTGCATTTCTTTAACACTTTGTTTCTTGGAGCAGAGAGACGTTAACCTGGAAATAATACAGGAGGCGGCAGACTGCACGGATCCTAAAATCTTTCTAAAGAGCATGGCATTTTGAATGGTTCAAGTCCTAGTTACTTTGAGACCCAGTTTCTTGTAAGCAACTAAGGGCTGAAGCTTTTGGAAAGTCATCTTAACCTTCCAGTCATAATATTCTAGACTGGGACAATGTTCCGATTTACTAGCTGGCATTCCTGCCACTCCAAATACTAGGAGGTGCACCGATATATCAGTCCGTACTGTATCGGCACCAATAAAAAGGAAAATTGACGTAATTGGCAAGCAGCTTTTTTTGGCTGATAAGTTCACCAATAAATGCTGCATGCATGCATGCAGCCACAGAATGGACACGGCCAAGAATGCAGTTGGGGAGCATGGCACTAGTCAGATAAACAGCACCTATTAGTTTGAAGTTTATGATCTTTGCTTTCAAACAGCAGTCTAAAAGTGAAAATATCACACTTCCAAATTGTGTAGGACTTGCAAGTGATAACAGCATGAAAACCGTAATCAGAATGTACTCGTTAATGCATAAATCCCTTAATTATAAATCTGGGACTCCTACTTTACCAACGGAGGCTTGAACAGACTGATCCACGGAGTTACTGGTTTTGTCTGAGAAGAGACAACCTCCTCCTGAGGGAGGAGAATACTGGAGCTTCATTAAAGAAGATATTTGCATCGAGGTTTTACACTCCTCCTCATCTTCCAGGAACTGCTTAAATAGATCTAGAGTACAGCATCTCCATGTTTATAAATTCACCATTCTAAGACTTGCCAAGGTACTACAGTATCTCATCAGACCAAGAGATGTGACTTCCAGATCAATGGAAGTTTCTAGACACTACCTCTGCACCAACAAAATAAATTTCCTAACCAAGTTTTGTGGCTACCCTCCTTCCACCTTGGCATCACTCACCTGCTCCCAACCACAGCAGTAATAACAGCTGCACTATGACCAACCCCTATGGTGATTTGTCAGAAGCACCTCTGGAATCTGGAAGCTTGAACCTCTTCTAAAAACCAATTGAACGTGCCCATTTCCAATAAAAGAAAGCCTATCGAGCTGAGGCGCTCTCCGTTTGCCTTTAGTAGTTATTGCTTTATGAGAGAGACAGCCAATGCACAGGCACCGCTGCTGCTATGCAAACATTTACTGGATCAGTAACAATCCAAAAAGAGAAAAATAAATCGCTGTGGTTCCTCGTTGTTGCAGCTTTACCCTAAACACTAAAAGCATCTGTTATGTCCTGAGTGCTTCTCATCTCTCCAACTAACAAAACTTCAAGTAGGACTCTGTGAAGAATGGAAGTACCCCGTCTCCTCTGGTCTGGTAGGTATGCTAACTGATCTCTTTCTGTGTCATGAGAGCCACCTGGTGGATTACAACCACAAGAAATACCCCTGCGAAGTACATATGGAATAAAAGCCACTGTTCTGTATGTTTAGCACAGTTCCCACCACTTTCACTTCTGAATGAGAGACTCACCAAACATCAGGCCAGCTGTACAAAGTGCTACTTGCTTTTTCAAGCAAGATTTCCAGACTGCTGGAGTCGGTTGATTGTGTTGGGAGTGACCATTTCATAAGCTTTAGGTGTCTGTACTAGGTTTTGGCACCCACTGTATATTAAAGTAGCAAAATACCAAGGACTGCTCACTGCATCTGCAGAGTGCTTTAGCATGTATTCCAGGAAATAGGCTAACAAAAGCCTGTCACATCCATAATAGTCTTCAGTCCTCAAACCATACTCCCCCTGGAAGTGTGAGGAAAACCTTTGCCGTGAGCCTGGGAGATCAGGTGCTAGACTTGTCCTCAGATGCTAAGCTAAGTGAATTTCAAAATATCTTTTCACAAGGAACAACTTGCTGAGCAGCTTTTTTTTTTTTTTTAAACCGAACAGTCTTTATCTCAAGTACCCGAGCTGATTTTAGTTATAGCAGTACAGCACAGAAGGGGTAGCCTGGGAGTTTCATGGTTATAACCATGGCTTCTTCCCAGGTATGTGTTAGCAGTTGATGCACAATTGTGCCCATGGTGGGAGGAGTCTCATTCATAAATCAGAGTCCTCATTCTGCTTCAGGTGAAGGTAAGAAGTCTTGATAAGAGGGCATCACGCTTCTAGAAGGATGTGGAGAAGCTCAGGAGAGACCACAGAAGAGCCACTCATATAATCAGAGGCCTGAAGAGCAAGCCACACAAGGAAAGGCTGACATATGGGACTGTTCAGCATAGAAAAAAGACGACTCTGGGGGGATTTGGTGGCAGCTTACCAATATATCAGGGGAGAGCACCAGGGGCTAAGTGAACAACTATTCACCAAAGCGCCCCAGGGGAAGACCAGGAGCAATGGTCATAAACTCCTAGAAGAAGGTTTCAGCCTGGATACAAAGAAAATCTTCGTCATGGTTCCTGTGACCAGATGCTGGAATAGACTCCCAGCAGGGGTGGTGGCACCTACCCTGGAGATCTTCAAAAGGAGATGGGATGTACACCTTGTGACCCCAGCAGTCTTTCCTGCCCAGAGCAGGGTAGATGGACCCAATCATTTCACTAGGTCCCTTCCAGCCCTAAACTTCTGTGAATCTGTGATATGCAGCCCTACAAAGGGTATGCATGCAGTAATCCAATTTTGAGGTGACAAAAGCATGGGCAACAGGGACAAGGCCCCTGCATAAGGAAGAGAAGCATAGATTAACACAAAATAAACCACCACATCCAACTATTGTGGGTATTTCCAATGAGCAATGTAAGAGCTAACAGGACATCTCAATTACACACATTAGAACTGGTCAGGGCACTTGCTCAGCAAGGCTAATAAAAAGCTTCCTCTTCCTCCTTCCAGGACAGGAGACAAACTGCACTGATTCAACTAAAATCAGTTAACACCTATGTACCAGCTCTGCCTGAATAACTCTCTCAGGCAGAAAAGGCTCAAGTTCTGCAGATACCATCTAAGCCTACCTCATAATCATCATCATCCTCCTAGTCTGATCTGGACCGAGTTGTACCCAACTAGCTCTGATCAAGACATCCTCCAATAGTCTGTGAACTGGTGAGTCCAATACCTTGGCAGGGTTGAATGCCATTTGCTTTCATTTCCATGTCAATGATTCTATTTTTTTTAAATATATGTCACCATCTTAATCAAGTTAATGGGTCTATTCTCTTCCAGCTGCCTCATGTGATATTTCCCAGAGACAAGCCAGAGCCTCACCAGGGGATCTTGATCTTGGTTTCCTAGCTCAATATCGCTCTTTCAGTTTCCCCAAGACATTTTAGAGCAGGACACTGTGAGAGTCGGTGGCAGAGGTTCCCAATGGCCAGGCCGAGAAGGGTTGGCTGCTGGACCGGAAGTCCGGAAAGTGACCAGCATACTGCTGATCAGTAGCCAACTCTTTTTTTTTTAATATATAGGGTAAAAGGGACTTCCAGACTGCGTTTTGCTGGTCCGTGGTCACTTGCAGACTGCGGTCTGCCAGTCCATGGTCTAAAGAGGTTGGAACCCACTGGTCTATGGAAACAGAATAAAATTATTGCCACTTCCTCACATTCTGCTCACCAGCAAGGAAGATCTCCTTGCACTTTCTCCTGGTCCTGCATTAGCACACAGGTTTTAGGTCATAACTCTCAAGACAATCAGTTGATTTGATAGAGCAGGCCTTGACTTAAGTGCACACAGCTGCAGTACACGAGACTCTATGGACCATTTCAGACGTGGGGAAGAGCAGGAAGCGGGATTTATTCTTCCATCGCTACAAGATTAACATGGCTGAAATGAACCTGTTGCTTGTCGCAGTGCTGGCCTTGCCACTGAGGGCAAGTAGAAAGCAAGTTAGATTTGCACCTTATAGACTAATCAGAGCAAATGCGCAAGTATGCACACACACGTGAAAGCCTCATTAACTCAACACTGCCTAGTTCAGCAGTTCCCAAATTCTGACAGACTGCACCCAACCCACTTAAAACGATGCAACCTTAAGTACCCCCCAGCAATTTTCTGTCACATAAAATAATTACAATAAATCCGTTAACGCAAACCACTGACAGGCTGTCCACGTACCACTGGTGGGACCTGTGCTGCAGACTGGGAAGCGCTGGACTAGTGCAAGTGTCAGACACTTTGAAGTGACCGTCACTCCCAGCCGAAAGGACAGGAATTTTGTAGGCTTCACCCTATGGATCACGCGAGATTCAGCTTCTTGGAAATTCAAACCTGTTTTCTGGTCCCTGGGACCATCAACCTTGGGAACGATTTGGGTTCAATGCAATTGGAGGCAGTCTGCACAACTGAGGTGAGCAAATCGGGTGGACCAGGGGTGTTTTGGCCGGATCAGGGCAGTTTGGAGCAGATCCCAAGTGGAGGGGAAGGATAAAGTTGAGGTCAGTCTCGTGACCAGGGGCTCTGGGGGGGTGACAGGATTAGGGGTTCGCAGGTCCCACAGGGGGTTAGAATTAAAGTTGTCACGTGACCACGGGGTCGCGGGCCTCCGCGGGGGAGGTGTGTAGAATTGGGGTTGTCACGTGACAGGGTCCCACTCACGTTTCACCAGCTCGTCCCCGGCGAAATCGGCAGCGCAGCTGGTGACCAGAGCGCAAGGCCCCTCCGCCGCCATGGCTCCCCTCCCCTCCTCTGTCGCCGCTTCCGCTTCCGCGTAAAAGCTCGCCTCTTCCGGCCGGGCGGCCGGTACCATGTGGGCTAGGGTGGAGTGCCGCTGGCGGGTGGGTGTTGAAAAGGGAGGGTGCTGCCGGTAAGGCGAAGGTGGGAGGAGAAGCCGCAGATACCCCGCTGAGCCCCCCGAGGGAACCCTCCCCCCCCCGGAAAGAGATGGTATGGTACGGTCCGGGCCGCGTCCCGTTGCTAGGCGCCGCGGTCACGTGCCCCGCCTGCCCCCTCTCCCCGCTGCCCGGGCCGGGGCCACCATGGCTGACGTCATCGGGCCCATCCTGGTGCAGGTAGGTGCGAGGGGGGCGCCCCTTCCCAGGAACCTTTGCGGCATTGCCCTGCCTGAACTCCCGTGAGCCTCAGTTCTGCCCCCAGGCCTGTGGCTCGGGGCGGCCCGGGCCTGGGGGAGCTCGTGCGGGACTTGGGGGGCGGAGGTCGGGACAGGGCCTGCTGGGAGCAGGGGGGCGGCCTAGATTTCCCTGCCGAGCTCCTTCCTCCTCCAGGGGCTTTCCCGGTGGCCCTGGCTTGCGGCTTGCTTGGCTGTGGTCTCTGTCAATGAGATGCCGAACCAGGCGCTGAAATCGATACGCCGTCATCAGATGCGGAGCCTTTCGTGTCATAGCCGTGGGAGCGCCAGACCCCCCTAAACCAAGCCGCGATCGTCATGGAGGCTGCAGCAGAGTTTAGCGGCTGTATGGCACATTTCTCCCCCGTGCATCTCGGCTTTTCGATGGGAGACCCTTGCTCTGGCCGAATCGGGGTCGGTTGAAAACTCCTGTCGAATCGGAGCTGGTTGAAATGGGTGATGCTGTCAGATAGAAGGAGACGCGAGACATGAACGGGCTTGCTCCCAAACGCTGCTGACAGCAGAGGCTCGGTCCAGCTGCAAAACGTTGGATTGCACCCCCCTCGCTACGGAGCACAAGATTCAGCGCACAGACGTATTCCTGTTCCCTTCTGGAAATGGATCACCATAATGGAGAGGGAGCGGGGGATGTATTAACAAGCGACATGTTGGTGGAGTGCAAAAATCTAGAGTGCGTAGTGCTAAAATGATACCTTTCATTAGACCGACTGAGCAATTGCAAAAAAATGTCTTTTTCTGCAAGCTTTCGGGCTCATGCACCCTTCGTCAGGCTCAGGGAAAGTCCAAGATGGTAAAAAAGGAAATAAACTTCATTTTTGCACAAAGGAAGCAGAAGCTGGAAAACCACCCCTCTAGGTCCGTGAGAATCTGTTTGTGAGCAGCCTGAGCCTGATGAAAAGCGCATGAGCCCAAAAGCTTGAAGAAAAAGATAATTTTTTTTGCAATTTCCCAATTAATCTAATGAAAGGTATCATTTTAGCACCAAGCGCTCTAGATTTTTGCATTTCCTTTTGTCTCAGACCAACACGGCTACCACATACATTCCTGAAACGTGTTGATGGAGAGACTTAGTATGTAGTGGAGGAGAGTGTGCTGGTAAACCAGTGGGAGGGACCCTTGATACCGTGTGCGTAGGGGCTAAGTGGTCAAGGGGGCATCCGAGGCAGCCCCGGGGACTGAAGTTATCATTATTGCACTGTTCTGTCACAAAAACATTTTAGCTTCAAGCCACATGCTATGGCAGTGGCTCTCAGCCTCTTCAGGCTGAAGGCAAATGAGCATTCCCTCTGTTTTTGACTCTTAACAGTGCGATTCTGCTGTTATAAAGAGCTAAAACAGACCACAGTGGATGTTTTTAACACTCTGGATTCCTATTTTAAATCTCTGGGCTTTCCTTGTGTAGGTGTACGCACTTCTAACTGTGCTACTATTGAGCAGCACCCTGTAACACCCTTAAAAGGATCTCGCAGCCGCCCAGGGTGCCACCATGTCAGTTAAGAATCACTGCTGTATGGGAATCTGAGGAATATGTGTCACACTAGTAATTCATACTGTCCTCATTGGTTTAGGGCTGCCAGTGGTTTCAAGTGAAGGAGTGTTAACTGAAACTGGTACTGCCTGACAACCCAAGAGTCCAAAGAGTTCTCTTCCTTTTAAAACGACTTTAGTCCTACATGGTTTCTCAAGAGGTATTTTTTCCTTTGTAGTGCTTATAGTCATATACAGAAAACAATGCACTTCTTACTGGTGACTGTACTGGCTGCTTGACAGCTTCTAGGTAAAAGTTGCTGGTTTACCAGGTTGTAGGAGAGGTGGGTGAGGCACTGTAGTACTAGTAACTGATGGGGTGGATTGAGAGGTGTCTGTGACCAAGGGATGAAGGGAAATTGACTCTCAGCCTTCTTCCCATAAACCCAAGCACTCTTTTCAGATGCAAAAGGAAATTCTTCTTATCCAAGACTAAAGCAGCCTCTCTTTCTGTGAATAGCATCATCAACAGCTCAGCAAGCCAGCTGAGTGGCTTACCCAGCGTGGGAAGGGATTCTACTGGGAAAATCAGTTGTATCCCACTGACATTCGACTGCATACTACAGGCTTTGTGTTTTGTCCATTTAGATCGTATCTTCTTTGACCCAAAACCAAGTGAAGTAATAAGGCCTTGATTCTGCGTGGCTTCTCTGGTGGCACTGGCATGGCTATACAGCACAAGACAGCACCATGCAGAGGCACCCTATGCCAACTCTTTGGCACTAAGTCCAGAAATTGGAAGCAATGCAGCTGCATTTGTGCAGCTCTCAGTAGACCTGGGCAACACATCCTCACTTCTGAAGTTCACCCACACCCTTCTCCGGTTCTGTTGTAGGATGCATCTCATCATTCAGGTTTTTCCACTGTCAACTCTAGGAGCCCTTGGCAAAGACATCCCTTGTCTCTGTCATGTAGTTGCAGAGCTGAAGGGATCATGAAGGAATTTGTTTCCTATGTTTAGGAAATGTTCTGCTTGGTATGATACTTGCACGTGTTAAGGAGATATGTGCGATTTATGATTTTCCAGGTTCAAGAAGACCTTCGCCAGCTTAAGAGGAAACTTGCAGTTATCAACCTTGAAGGAAATCAAAATGCCCTGGATGTTCATAATCTTGAAACAGCCATTGAAAGAACAGAAATTGGGTTAAAAGTAAGTAGATCCGGGGAACAGGAACAACTTATCACCATTGGAGTTTTCATCAGTAATTCTTTGTAAACACATAGGGTCAAATATTATTCTTTGTAAATTCTGTTCGTTAATGAAAAAAAAGAGAGGCCCAAGCACTGTATTTCAGGCCACAATTGTTCTTTTTGGGTGGTCAGAGTCAATTAGCCTTAGGGCTGACAGCATTATCCAGGACATGCTATAATTGTCCAGATATGCATTGCCTGTCATGTCTTTTTCACTTAATTACAAGTCCAGAAAGTTAAGCTAATTGAGCCAAGTGAGATGAGTGTCCCCATCTCCCCTGTAATAGTCTAAACACGATTTTTTTTCTTGAACAGAAACATGCTGAGAATTATTTCAATGCCATAAACAGACAAGTGTTAACTGTTCCTTTTACTGATCAGAAGGAAGCGTGTTCAAAACAGCTCTATAAATGGTAAGTACAAGAGCCTTTTTACTGGGGAGACAGGAGTACAAGCTTCATGTTGTCAGAGTCCTATGGAGAGAGAAGAGAAGCAGCTACATGCTTAAGTTGATGATCAAAACACTTAAAGGGGTGTGAATTCTCGGTGCCAACTCTGGGTACATGAAGTGTCACCATAGTGGTTACTGAGAAATACCTTGCATTGCTGACATTGTAGTCATCTGTGGATTGTTGTTTGATACTTTACAAAAAGTTAAAGAATGATAGACTAACATGCAGTTTTGTGTAGGTATAGTAAGCTCTTCTTTTAACTTGTGCAACTGCTTTTTGTGTTTTGGCTAAGCAAAAATGTCCATAAAACAATAGTAGTTTAAACTTAATCAGATGGAAGTAGTACAAGTTTTATAGGTAAAATCAAAGCAAGTCTTGTAACTCTTTGTTTCTTTCTATATTAGGGAGCTTCCTAAGGATGCTGCTCAGAAACAGTTAATTTTACCACTGGTACCTGTTAAACCTCTGACTGCTCAGCCCTGGAGCAAGACAGCATGTGCTTCTCCAAGATCACAGGTCTGAAATAACCTATTCCTACTTGGGCAGATAGACTGTGTATAAGTATTGGAGACTGGGACCTGAAAAGTTACCCAGAATCCTGGAGTCTTAGTTAAATTATGGGATCTAGTGCCAAGCAATTTCATTTAGGTATATTTTGTTTCTACTCCAAACTCTGCAGAGATTCTGTTTCAGATAGAATTTTTCCTGTCTCTTAGCTTTTGAACTTTTTTTCATCATTCTGAAGTGGCAAGTCAGAGTGACAGAGGCCCAGGGTGGCATCTTCAAAACAAAATCCACCTTTTCAAAACAAGCAAGGCAAATGTAACAAATTTAACAAAATTAAACAAATTTAATCAGCATGTGGAGTAAAATCTCTGTTTCAACTATAAGGTGATTTTTTGGACTCCTAAGGAACCATGAATATGACACTCTGCGAGACCCTTTTTTAAAGAATCAGTGTTCAGGTTGCAACTGTGCTTTAATTCTCCTGGTTTCTGGTTTGAGTTGCAACTTTCCGGCTGCCTTAATAGGTCTCTGTGCATCAAAATCTTACTAGTTTATGCTTTGAAAGGAATGCAAGTTTTATGTTGCTTTGGGATTTAGGTGAGCAGAATACACACAAAATCCTGCAATTTAAATGCAAAAAATGGTGATCCTGAAAATTGTTTTTAGAATCTCTCGGAAACAACAGTGCGCCCTAGAAAATGATCGGACACTGTCTTTTATAAAGATATGTGTATCGTGAAAAATTATCACAGGCCAAGCAGTCTATAATCTGTGTCTAATCCATGGGTTTTCAACTGTTCTATGCATGGGTGAACTTAATTTAGAGCAGGGCACATACTATGTCCTACCCTGGCTTTCCCTTGGGGGCTTTGGAGCCCCATTGTCCTTTCATTTCTGATATCTGTGACATCTGCTTAAAAATGCATATCCACAGACACACAGGATAGCCCTAATTTCCCATTATAAAGTAAATGACAAACAGTGCTGTTTTGCCAGCTGTTCTACATGCCTGGCATGCCAACATAAAAGCTTTTATTATTAAATAGTTGTGAAATCCAGCTGGGAAATTACCACCTATAATTCCGTTTCCTGTCTTTTTAAACTAGGTGATCCCCACTTGCCTCTATAAGTAGATTTGGTTTAATTTTTTTTAAATACATGTTGGCATTTTCAGGATTCCTTTCCATGTGAAGTAAGTGTTCAGTTTACAAAGCTTTATAACTTGCTAGGGGACTTAATCATATTTTGGCCTACTTTATTTAACCTGTTGCTTGAAGGGATCAAGTTTCAAGTACGTAGTTTGGGCTTTGAAAGAAATAATTCAGATAGCAATAAATCAGTAGTTTGTGGTCAGTAGCAGGCTGTGTGATAGAGCATAAGTTGTGTTTGCAGTAAGCATAAAACAAGATTGCCATCAAATTACCACAGACGATATTTTCACATACACATTGTTAGAGTACTTGCCATATGCCAAATAGCCTGGCCGCAGATGTGCTGGTATACTCATGGAATTATTATTTACACACAGATACAATATTTCTGAATCCTGGCAACAGCAGGATGTGGTGGTGTTAGGCCAGCTAATATGGAACATCATGATGCATTGTCACTACTGGAGTCCTTGATTGTAGTTGCGTTTATTCTCCCAATTAAGCTTGAGAGATTTGTACATGCATCTCCTGTTAGCGTGGATTGGACGCAGCAATGGTAGAAAAGACATCAGTGTCTGTATTAGTGAGAAATCCAGTTCAGACGTATTTGAAATAAACCCTGCTGAGTTGAAAAGGTCTTGAACCGAGTCTTTTGTTTTTCTTTTTGAAAACTGAAACTTTTATGGCATCCTAAAAACACAATAGGAGTTCCCTGTTCTCTCCTCCCTTTATGGCACATGACTCATTAATATTAATAGATTATAGTTGTGAATGAAGAAAATAGGCTCTGGAGTACTGTAAAACATGTGAAAGCTGTTTGTTGTTAGGCATGACAATTAGCTTGAGCACAGCCAACATGCTGCTTGTTTCAGAGACTAATGCTGTAATCTGGATGAAGTTCACCCAGCATGAAGTGGCTTTTGGACCAACAAAGAAATGACACTTGAATTGTTCCACTGCATTGTAATGTTCAAGGTACATGGTTCTGTGACTAGCAAGTGTGTACAAAGAAATGTGAGTCTACCAAGTCACCTCATTCTAGTGCATTAGCAGTAAATGGGGTTAGTGAACACATCCAAGCTTCTCCTGGTTGCTCACGTCCATCTGTCTTTTACTGTTGAAATACTGCTCAGTTCACCCAACCAGAACTCATGATACCATGTCTTTCCCCTGTTGCTTCCCTCCCTTAGGCCCAAAGACACCAGAGAGTTTCCTAAGACATCTTCCATTTTTCTGCTCAGCTTGTGACCATGGCACACACCATCCATAACTATTCTTCCTACGAACTGGAATAAGTCATGCAGAGTGTGACTGGAAGGGTTTCACCTAAGTTGCTTGCATGGCTAGTTCTAGATGTGCAGTATGCCATTTGTCCTCCTATACTGCTTCTTGTTCTACACCGTAACAACTGAGGCTTCGGTCTGACTTCAGACTAACAGAGCCCACTGTCTCTCTCCACCATAACAACAGAGTCCAGAAATATGGAAGAGCGTAGGAGTTAGAAATGGAAAGATCTGTTAGACACTTAGTCCATCTCCCTTCAAACACAGTATTGTTCCCTGCAGTACCTTTGAGTTTAGAAAGTAGCTTTCATCAGCTTTCTTTATTAAGCATTTCAATTCTCATTATCCTGAGTGGAATCTGCCAGTGAGACATTTATCATTTTGCTGTCAGCCTGTGACTGGGGAGTTTGCATTGCGAGTTGTCTCCTGTTTTTAATTGAGAAGATCTTCAGAAAGAAACCTTTGCATCTTTTCCCTCCAATCCTTGTTTAATAGCACAAGCAGTTTCCTTTTTGTACGGTGGTGCAGTATGGTAATAAAATAAATACCACAAAATCACTGATGAGGTGAAAATTGAACTTTCTGCCTCTGTGCAGCCATGTAGGTAAAAGAGTAATTGGCTTGGATAATAACTTTTGTTCTTAACACACCAAAGTCTAAATGAGCATCACATTTGATACATCTGCTTGTAATTACCATCAGAAGAAGAGGGAAGCGTCGTTCAGATAAATTCAAACATGTTAGTGTGTTAATAAATTAAATTGCTATCTCTTCTTACTAGGTAGAAAAATACCTTCTAAATAGTATCTTAAACTTACACAGATTTATTTTGCTTTTCAAAAATTGATATCCCCTTAAATCCTCTCTTGTTTTTACTTGGTAGAAATAGCAATGGTACGTTCCTGCCTCTAACTACATTATTCATTTAGCTAGATCGTATATACTGACAATGTGCTTTTCCATTCCTGTGTTCAGATAATGGGAATTATGCACATACGAGCCAGATCCTTAGCTGCTATAATCTGGTCGTTAGTAATATGCCAATTTGTGCCCGTTAAGGATCTTCCTGCATTCATCCGTTGGTGAACACACTCATGTTGGTGGCAGAGGCAATTTAGCATTGTTACTTCAGTGGAACTATTGGGAGATATTACAACTCTTGGTACAGATCCAAACGCTTTGTTCTATCTTTCAGTGCAGCTACAATGCTAAGTCAAATGTTTTTACACAGATAATTTTATGCTCAGTGTTCAAATCAAATGTTTGACACAGATAACTTTATACAAAATAATTGCATCTATTAGATTCCTTTAAATATGAAGACATTATTTTAAAAGCTGTTTTTGCATATTTTCTATTATTTAGGATTTCCTTTACCCTCATTTTTGTAAGCAGAACAGCTTGATTCATTCCACAGAGCTGAAATAAGACATTAAAAAATGTGTTTTAATTCTTGTATCTATAATGGTTATTTCTTTTCTCGTTTACTGACTAAGCAAGTGCTTTACCTGCACTGAGCCAATGGGCCATAGCAGGTCCAAGGAAGCAGTTCTGGTCCATCAGGTCAATGATCCCTGAATTAAAGTATCCGGCAAGCTTAGCCATAATAGATGACACTATTACTCTCAACTGTTTTAACAATTCACTTTTAACCCAATCTAACTAATCACAATGCATATTTGCCACATCCCATTAATATGGGCCTGATTCAGCAAAATGCTTCAGCATGTGCTTAAGGAGAAAATAAATATACTCACCAAGGAGATCGTATGTTTAAAAATCCTGATTTGCTTTGTGTCCTGAGCTACACTTATGAAGTATATGATTATATCTGTGAACATTAGCTAATCTTGTACCCACTGAAATTATATATTGAAGAGGACTGTTGATTTCAAGGAGTACCAAATTGGGGCAGATGGTATGTTTCAAGCTATATTTTAAACCTTGCCTATAAATTTTCTTGCTACCTTTAGAGTAGTTTGATTGATTTATTTTCTGTTTGGCTACATTAACTCAAATGTTGCCTATGCAGATACCTGATGTTCTTATTAAATGCTTGCTATAGCCTTATTATGAAGATGTAGTTTGGTGTTTGCAAATCCAGTCTTGAATTTGTCTGTGACATTGCTGAAAATAAAGTGTCCCTGTTAACAGAATGAAAGTACATGTTACCTGATCAGATGTAATATGTTCAGATTTGATTGGCCAATTCTTTTATTTGGACAGTGACAAGTAACTCTCATCAGCCTTAGTAAATTGTATTAATATCCATGGAGGGGGGCTTTTATTCAAGACGTTTCCTTTTGGAAATAGGAGTATATGTTCATTGATTGCATATATGATGTGGATTGTATGTCATTTCTATCACTTACTTGGATCAGAACAAATATATACTTATATCTGGAATGCAATAAGAATATACAATAAATTATTCCAGGAGAAGTGTGGTGGGATGATATTTGTGAGTAGCTGTTTTGCTTTCCTTCATCTCAGTTGTTAAATAATCTGACCACAAGTACATTTTTCATTGTTTGCCTGATTGTAGAGATTGGTGAATAATGGCAATCAAATCATTTACAAATTTCCCATCCCTTGGCAAATTTATTATTATAAACATTTTCCTCCGTGCAATCACTTCTTCTTGTTTTAAGCATTTGAGTTTACATAGTAAACATATTTTTAAAATATGCATAATATTCTTTGTTTCAGCACAAGCTTGCCAGGCACGTGAAAATCGGGTATGATTCAGAACACGCCAGTAACAAAGTTCTTTTAAATCAAAAGTATGGAATCAGCTTACCACTTATAAATCAAAGAAAATCAGCTCCAGTGAGTAGCTTAAATTATTTTAATGCCCTTTATCAATATTATCATGACACTAGTAAAGCTGAAAGATTCTTATGTCTAAAATATGGTTTTAAATAGAAGTATCTCACGATTTTCTCTTTTTTTGAAGTTCCTGCATTTTATTAACATGTCAGCTATGACCAGGCAGTAAAATACAGTAGCACAGCAATGCTCTCTTTAGAGCAACAGGGACTCAGTCCCGGAAAGACTTACGCATGCGCTTCAGTCTGTTCACTCTGAGTAGTTCCATTAAAATTAGCTAAGTAGATCATGTGCCTAAACCTTCGCAGGACTGGGACCTATGGGATTTTGGGCCTGATCCAAAGCCCACTGAAGGAAATAAAAAGATTTCTATTGACACTAGTGAATTTTTGAATGATTCTTTTGTTTTTAGGGCAAGAAGAAATTCCATTTTCAAGCTTCCCAGGGGACTATTATAAATAAGTGAAAAAATACATGTGCAGTACTTTACATTTTGCTGTTATTTTCTCAACTGACATTTCTTTTGACAGTAAGCCTAACAACAACCTGGTGTAATTCTGGAGATCAGTGTTACTAAATGAATGCACAGATGCCACACAGCTTAAATTGCAGGACTCCCAAAGGAACAGGGTGAACTTAAACACCATTAGCCCCTGAGTTTGTCAGTGTGGCTGGTGGTAGTGATGTCCTTTTATCCAATAGTTGGAGCACCCTCTGGGATGGGAGACATGACTTTCAATCCTCCCCCTGCCTGAAAGGACTTGGACATACATCTCACACTTCGGAGACAGTGCCCCCACTGCCAGGTTACAGGGTTGGGGCACTTGACCTTATGTATAAAACACTAAATCACACATTCAAGGAAAGATCAGAAGCTTAGTCCTTCCCCACTTCTCTGGAGAGTTCCGTAATCACCTTCTATGCAATCTCTCTGTCTCTTTGGCCCGGTCAATATTTACGCTTTGTAAGAATAGTTTTTCTTTACCTCAACCATGGTTCTCTTTTTGAACGACTGAGTAAGCATTAGCACCGTATTTTCCACAAATTATGCTTTTTTATTTAATATGCACAGACTTCTCATTCCAAAGATCAATTGCACTCACAGTTTTCAGTTTGGTGTTATGGTCCACATGGAGGATCATGCCCAATGATCATGCACAAAGACTCTCTTTTACAATTTCATTTATGTAACAGAAGCATCGTGCAGCAAGCTCTGTGCCGAACGAGAAATTCTAGGGTGTTTGGTTTTAAACAACATAAACAGCGTCTGTGAATAGCACAGTTGTGGGCTGCCTCTTATAAAAAAAAATGATTTTTGAAAGCCGTTGCCCAGACTAAGAGGTGATTTGTCTAACCCTGTGATATAGAGTTAATTAGGAAAAAAAAGCATCATGGCTAATAGCTTTTTAGAACCACTGTAAAATGCTCACAGAGAGGAATATTATCCGACTGCAGTGAGCCATGTGTTTTACCACTTTCATTGAGATGTACTGATCAGAGAAAACTTCTTGATGTTGATGTAAATGACAAACATTAGTGTAAATTAGTCAAGCTATCTGATACATATTTACAGTTGCTAAGAAACTGGTGTATGCAACATGGAGATGGACTAAATACCCAGTTAGGTCATTTTCAGCTCTAATTTACAACTTCCCAACAGCCGTATTTAAGCAGTAACTCTCAATTTTTAAATCTCAAGAACGATCAGTTTTCAGACGATGTTCTAGTTGCTGTTGAGATTTAATCAAAACCGATTGAAAATAGGAAGGGTTTTTGTGCCTGCACGTGTGGATTTTTTTCAAAGTTGGCTTTATCATGAGATGTTGGTTACAATATTATCCATAAGGCTTAATTACAAAAGCTATGTTAACAGTAATGAAACTGTAGCTACTATTGCTGCATAATTAAAATAAAACACATACTTGCAGAACTGGGACTAGAACAATGGTCTAGCTTTTTTTTTTAAAAAAAGGAGGCCTCTGCCACTTTAGTTAGGGGAAGAACTCAGTTGCCACCTACTGAAAAGCCCTGATTCTTTCTAATCGGTGATCAGCCGATAGAGGGCAACGTGTATACACACAGTCCTGAACTGGCTCCCTCTAAAGTCAATGGCAAAAGGACTCCTCTTCAAGTAAATGCATGCTAGATTTGGAGAAAACTATTTACAGCAGAAGCTGATATGACTTTGCTTAACTTCAGCCTCACTTCTTCATAGATGGTCAGCACCTGAGTTCTCAGAGAGGTTGAGCCAAAAGTTTATGTTCAAAGCAGTAATAGCAAGCTGGTATTTTGAGCTGATGGGAGAGGAAGGATACTGGATGAGCCCGTTTCAAACTGGGAGATGATTTTTAATGACCTGCCACTTAAAACTTGCTTTGTCAGATAGTTTTCAAACTGTGCTTAGGTGTCATTATTTGACAGAGGAATAAATGAGTGGCTTCCCAAGTCTGAGGTTAGATTTTGTAACAGTAACTGAGTGAAAGTCTTAACGCTGGAGCTGCTCCTGCCTGTCTGTAGTTTAGTCACCGTTGCCTGGACTTGTCTGTCCGAGTGCTGCTCCTTTCTCTCGTGTAACATTTTGCACATACCTAAAATGAGGCAGGGGGTGTAGTCCAGCTTTGAGCAACACGGACACTTCGGGCATCGCATTCTTGCCGTGTAAGCTCTGCACAGGCAAATGAAACATGATAGTATATGACCATTAAATATGCACGCTTCCCACAGAGCATCCAGCAAAACACGCTCTGATGAGAGTTGCTGCAAAAATAACTCTTAGTGCTGCGACATAGAGATTCACAGCTGTACTTTTTGTTTCTGTTGAATTTCTGTTCAGCTGTGGAATTATACCGGCATTTTGGACCCTGTCCTTATAAATGAATATATGCTGTAATGTAAACTTAGAACCTTTTAATTTATTCATGAGGTAGAATTTAATGCTATGGTGATTTCTGCTTTTTATGTGTTGTATCTTGTGCCTTTTTTTTTTTCTTCCTTTTTGCTAACTTACTTCAATTATGGCTGAACCAATAATAGCCTTCTCATTCATTCACCAGGCATGTATGTTTATAATCTCACTTTCTATCACTGAAAGCATATTCATTTCCAAGTTCATAAAGTAATGCAAAGCCTAACAGTTCTTCTTAATTTGAAATGATTCGAAGAATCAAGAGAAGAAAAAGGAACAAAAGACCTCAGAACCTAGAAGCGCTGTCCGTGCATATGGCTGCAATTACAGTCAAAACATAACTTGGCTCCGGTAGCAGAATTAGATTTAAACAAATTGATGTTACACTACAGTAATTCAAAATGAGCTAACTGTGTTCGTAATCCAGAACAAGAAGCACCGCGAATTAATAAACTTCTCTTGTCACTAAAAATAAAAAAGGGAATAATTGGAGAGATGGAGTTAACTTAACAGATGACTACAGTCAGCATCCTTTCAACCTAGAAATGGGAATGTGAAGGTCACCCCCATCTCGGCTGACAAACAGAGAACATTTTGTTGGTAAACAAATTAATCTTTTGAAAGGTCACCATTTGTTTTAAGTTTTTATCCAGTTCTTGTCATCTGGAATCGGAGATTGACTGTCATTTTGCTAGGCAGGGGTGCAGCCGAAGCTGCCGAAGCTGCTTCTGTACATATCAGCATTCCTTGACAAAACTCGGTGCCTGATTGTGATGCTATGGGCTGCTGGTTTACAGCTGTCTCCGGACAAGAATGGAGGCCCACCCCTGAATTCCAATAAGATGGGCCTGCATATTGTGCCTCATGTAAGCTGGCCCTTTGCCCACAAGTAAAATGTATTGTAGTTCAAGCCAGCAATTATCTTTCTTACTTCCTTCTGTGCTGCTGTTCCCTTTTTCAAAAAACAGATGTGGCATTCACCAAAGTTCTGCAGCTATTCTCTTCCACACCTGCTATGGCAGGATTTTGACAGAGGTAGATTTTAGGAAATCTAGCAGTAGGCCATCAGCACTGATTTCTCAGATAGCAATTTAAAGGACTAGAGCTGATTTATTTTTTTCCCAGGCAGAAGGAAAGTGAGCAGTTCAGAGCTCTGTCTGATTTATTTAATGGACCTGTTTGATATATTATGATGATGATGATGCTCTAGCAGTTCCATATTTAATCTTGCATCACCTTTTCCATTTATAACAGAGTTGTATATGCTTTAGATGCACATAACCTCTCATTTTTCATTAATAATGCTCCCTGCTAGAATATACATTGGAATAAAGAGAGTAAACTTCAATTTTCCAGATAATTTTCTAAAAATAAAATGGGGAAACCTCTTAAAAATCTTCCTTCCTTCATTCCTGTACAAAGCTTCTTATGCCTCCACTGAATTCAGTGCAAATGTTGTTGTTAATGCTGAAGTCCACCCCCACTAAATTCCTGATGTCACTTCAAGGGGCACACAGAAGTAGGGTTACTATACATCTGGGTTTTCCCAGACATATCCTCTTTTTTTGGGTCTTCCTGTCTCTGTCAGGGCAGTCTTTTTAAAATATCAACACGTCGGATTTGGGGTTTTGTTCTGCTCAGCATCCAAGTTTTCCGTGGTGCTGGGCTGCAGCAGGGCAGGGAAGGTGCCTGCTCCTCCAGCCAGGGAGGGGCAGCAGGGAGCTGTGTGGCTGGGCCACACAGGTGCCTGTGCTCACGGGGGCAGGCAGCCGGGAGATGCTTTTAGGGCTGGGGGGAGCAGAGGGCTGCGGGTTGGGAGTGAAGGGCACCGACAGTGCTGGGGGGGACGGTGGGCAGGGGACTGCAGATCAGGAGTGAGGGGCACAGTCAGGACTGGGGAGGGAGAGAGGGGCAGGGGACTGCAAGGCAGGAGGGAGGGGCATTGGCAGGAGTAAGGGGCACTGGGAGGGCTGGAGGGGGCAGGGGGCTGTGGGTTTGGAGTGAAGGGCGCTAGCAGGGCTGGTGGGGGGGTGTGGCCCAGGGGACTGCAGGTCGGGAGTGAGGGGCACTGGGAGGGCTGGGGGGAACTGTAGTT